CTAAAAGATTGGGACAGTACAGCGTTTTTGCAGTTTCCATTTGGCCTGGGAGGCCCTTAAACCCTAAACCCCTAAACCCTCCGGTGTAGCCAGGGCACCTGAGGCAGGCAAAACTATAGCAAAAGTGTGGGCCTATGGGGGGGGTGGGGGGGTACCATATATATATATATGTATATATATATATATATATATATATATGTGTGTCTCTCTCTCTCTGGTTGAACCATGGTATTTTGGGAGGTTTGGGTTTCGGGAGGTGATTTGCCTGTAGCATTGTGGCTGAATCCAAGCTCGCAACCTCCGCCACAGAGCCTGGAAGGCTAAAAACAAAATGACATGGTGAGCAGTTCTCTACATCACAGTCCCTTCTTGGGCACCAACCCTAAACCCTAAACCCTAAACCCTAAACCCTAAACCCTAAACCCTAAACCCTAAACCCTAAACCCTAAACCCTAAACCCTAAACCCTAAACCCTACCTAAAGGAGCGGCCGTATCCGAAACAGGGACCCAAGAAGCGACTGTAGCCTCGAGGACTGACCATGGGGGGTCGCCGAGGTCAGGGCACCAGCATCAGGATGTCTGGGTTTAGGGTTTAGGGTGTAGTGTTTAGGGTTTAGGGTTTAGGGTTTAGGGTTTAGGGTTTAGGGTTTAGGGTTTAGGGTTTAGGGTTTAGGGTTTAGGGTTTAGGGTTTGGGTTTAGGGTTCAGGGTACGTATGACCCCAGTTATAACTGTACTTATAACCCCCCCCCCAAGTCCTCCAAGCAGGTCAGAAGTAGACTTCTATTTGGGGTTCTCAGTACCCATGAATCTCCAAGCACCACATTCCCTCCTTCTCCACTAAGAAGCAGCATATAGCCCAACTTGTTAAGTACCCAAGAATCAGTTATAACTGGGGTCATAAGTACCCTGAACCCTAAACCCTAAACCCTAAAACCGAAACCCTAAACCCTAAACCTGAGCTGAGAACCAACTAGGCTATGGGCTCCTGTCTGCTGTCAAGCCACTGGCCCCTGGTGCAGGTGAAACGAAATGGACTCAACTAGTGGCGCGGGCCACTCTTTTGGCTTGGGGGCCTTTTTGGTTTAGGGTTTAGATGAGGGTACAACCGACTGCAACTAAAAACTCACCTACTTGTAACTTCATATAACTACGAGTTTAGGGTTCAGAGCTGAGAATGCTCTACGGGGGAGGGACGGGTGGGCGCTCATGCCAGCGTTATGGCGTGCTTCCCGTCTTTCAGCTTGATGTTGTTCCTCGGCTCGGACATTCCCGAAAGTCAGAAGAGCACACCTCATGCCCTGAAACGCTGCACCCAAAGCGAAGCCCTTCGCCCTGAAACCCCCTAAACTCGAAATCTTCAAACCCGGCCCCAAACCCTAAACCTAAAACCAATCAGCGGATTACGTTCCAAGGACGCCCACCCGAAATCCATAAGGGTTTAGGGTTTACGGTTTAAGGCTTAGGGTATTTTTGGGTTGGGGTTTAGAGTTCAGAACGAAGGGTTCCCTCCATCCGAAATCCACGACCTAGGAAATGGCAAGGAGGCTGTTCTTGGCTCCATGGGTTTAGGGCTTCTGGCTTAGGGCTACATGGGTACCAGGGTTTAGGGTTCAGGGTTGAGGGTTTGGGGTTTAAGGCTTAGGGTTTAGGGCTTGGCGCTAAATGGGTGCCTTCTCACGAGAGCCATGACCTGAACTAAGGAACATGCACGAACTCAGCATCAAGATCCTTACATACAGGGTTTGGGCTTGAGGGTTTAGAGTTTAGGGTTTAGGGCTTAAGGCATGCTCCTTCATGAAAGGAGTTAGCGTTTAGGGTTGAGGGAAGAGAAGCGCCCTAAACCCTAAACCCTAAACCCTAAACCCTAAACCCTAAACCCTATAAACCCTAAACGGGGGGCTCCGAGAAAGTAGGCCCCCGGCTTTTCTGCGAGGAGGGAGATCCACATCTCCATCTCCTCCTCCGACCCCACCTGGCTCTTCGAGGTCTCAAGGGCCCCCCCTAAACCCTAAACCCTAAACCCTAAACCCTAAACCCTAAACCCTAAACCCTAAACCCTAAACCCTAAACCCTAAACCCTAAACCCTAAACCCTAAACCCTAAACCCTAAACCCTAACCCTAAACCCTAAACCCTAAACCCTAAACCCTAAACCCTAAACCCTAAACCCTAAACCCTAAACCCTAAACCCTAAACCCTAAACCCTAAACCAAACCCCTGCCTTCATCTGCAGGGGTGGGAGGTTCAGCTCTTGGAAGCGGCCGTCCTCCATCAGCCTGGCTGTTTAGGGTTTTGGGTTTTGGGTTCAGGGTTTAGGGTTCAGGGTTTAGGGTTTGGGGTTTAGGGCTTAGGGTTTAGGGTTTGGGGTTGAGGGTTTAGGGTTTAAGGTTTAGGGTTTATGGTTTAGGGTTTACGGTTTACGGTTTAGGGTTTAGGGCTCTTAATACCAGTGTTTAGAGTTGAAGGCATAACGCCTAGGAAACAGTTGCTGCCCCAAAGCCCCTGAACATACTGAAATTGCCCTACGTAGAACCCTGCAGCCCCTTAAAAGTCCTAAAGCCCTGCACGCCAAACCCCAAAACCTAAACACTAAACCCCAAAACCCTACACCCTAAAATCCTAAAAACCTAGAACCCTAAAGCCCTAAAGCCCTAAAACCCTAAAACCCCAAACCCTAAACCCACGAGCCTAAAACCCCTAACCCGAGAGAAGCCCTAAAACCTTGAAGCTGCTGGATTCTGGGGCTAGCGGCTAGTAAGTGAGCAGCTAAGGGTTGAGGGCTTTGGGTAAGTCACGGACCCACTCTATCTATATATACATATAGACATATATATATATACATATCCTAACATCCTCAATCCTGAGAACCCTTCCTAGAATCTTAGCACCTGCTGCGTCTCACGCTCTTTGCCGTCGCTTTGCTTGGCTTCGCACTCACGGCTAGCCATTTTGCTTAACAAGTGTGCTAAAAGGGGTACTGTTTTTACTATTTCGGCTTCCGAGTCTGTATTTAGCTGCTATCTATTTGAAACGGTGGGCTTCCTGCAGGTTTCGCACGCGTTGCACTCTGAAATTAAAGATCTTGCCATAGGTTCGCCGAACCCTAAACCCTGAACCCTAAACCCTAAACCCTAAGATGATGTTTTTCGCGCCACTTCAGGACGACGGATGCTGGGGATTCGCGGGAATGTCCCACTGGCAGGATGTCAGGTGTCAATAGTCAGCTGGTGGGGCTGAAGCTGCCCTGAACCCTAAACCCTAAACCCTAAACCCTAAACCCTAAACCCTAAACCCTAAACCCTAAACCCTAAACCCTAAACCCTAAGTTGATGGTTTGCAGACTCGAAGTTCGATTGTGGGGCCTCGGTTGGGGAAGTGCCTGCACAACGGAAACCATGCTCAGCACACTTTCTATACGCATTGAACTGATCACAAGCTTGGCACCACCTAATGGAACTTTGTACATTGAATGCGGCGACTGGCACTGCCCCTGCTTTCAACCAGCTCCGTTCCATGTGCAAAGACACCAATGAGGACCACACCCTACACCCTAAACCCTAAACCCTACACCCTAAAGCACACCAAGCCCTAAACTGAGAGAGGGTTCAGAGGGTCTTTGGGTTTGAGGTTTCGAGATGACATAAGAAACCCCGCCGATCGGCGGCGGATCTGCGCAACCACATCTGCACGGGCCTTTCTTGAAAAAGACGCTGGGCCCAATGCAGAGGCCCTCTCTAAAGGGGGGGCCAGCATTAACGCCAGGGGAACCCTGAACTAAAAGAGTACCCGAAACCCCGAACGGAAACTCTTTTAGTTCAGGGTTTCGGGTTTAGGGTTTAGGGGTTTAGGGGTTTAGGGGTTTAGGGGTTTGGGGGTTTAGGGGTTTAGGGGTTTAGGGGTTTAGGGGTTTAGGGGTGTAGGGGTTGAGGGGTTTAGGGGTTTAGGGGTTTAGGGTTCAGGGGTTAGGGATAACGGGCCTGTTGCAGTGTTTGGGTTGTAGGTTTGAGGCAGCTCTTGGATGATTTGCCAGTCATCAACGCCTTGGAAGCTTGGACGACAGGTGCAAACCCCCGCTACACACACGCGGATGGGTGCGAAGCAGGGCACTTTCTTGGGGTAGTTACATGGCCCTGAATATGAGCCCTTAAATGGGGACCGCTTGTATACCCTCTACAACCCAAGAACCCACAGATCAGAACCGTTTAAAGGAGGTAGGGGACCATACTAAGGGCCCATCAAACTACCCTTAGGCACTTGCACAGCTCTCTGTGGCTCCTTTTTTAAGGTCCCTGCTGGAAAAGCCAGCCCTTCTTGTAGGGTACCCAGAAAGGAACATAATTTTGGAGAGCTGCAATCTTGAGCCATCAGAGATGTAGGAAGATGCCACAATGATGGTCTTGCACGTTCGCGCGCGGGAGAGGAACCCTTCAGACCAGCCCCGCTACTCGAAACCCTATTATAATCCGCATAAACCCGATCCTCAAGCTTACGAGCCCCCGTAAACCCCGCAAGCCCAGCAATAACTGCTGTCCTATGAACCCTAGAAACCTTTGTAAGCCTGAACCCTAAACCCTACACCCCTAAACCCTGTCCCTACACTAACCCCTAAACCCCTCAACCCCTCAACCCCTCAACCCCTCAACCTCTAAACCCTAAACCCCTAAACCCCTAAACCCCTAAACCCCTAAACCCCTAAACCCCTAAACCCCTAAACCCCTAAACCCTACAAACCCCTGCAACCCCTAAAAGCGCTGTCCCCACCCGAGCCCGGTAAACCCTTTCAACCATGTAAGCCCCGAAAGCCCTACAGACCAAACCCGCGCCGAACCTGGGAGTTGGGGGGGAAGGGTGTTTAGGGTTTAGGGTTTAGGGTTTAGGGTCTAGGGTCTAGGGTCTAGGGTTTGGGGTCTAAGGTTTATAGGGTTTAGGGTTTGGGGTTCAGAACTTGTGGGGGCTTGGCTAAACTCTAGGGTTCTCCGTCGCTTCGCGCCCTCCCACTCAGAAGCCCAGGAAGGAGAAGAAACCCGGCTTCCTTTGCCGCAGACAAACCCTAGAGTCTTATGGTTTAGCGTGGGTTCATGTGTTCAGGGTTTTGGGTTGAGGGTTGGTTTAGAGTTCATGCAGGGTTCAGGGTTTCGGGCTTAGGGTTTTGGTTGCAGGGTCTAGGGCCAAGGCGAGAACTACCGAGTGGGTATTCAAGTCTTGAGATAAAGGTTGTTGGTGCTTTTGGTGTTCTGCTGCAAGGTTCTGGGATTTCGGTGTTTCCGGCTCCAGAGCTCAAGATGCACGCCATGGGGACAAGACTTTTTCTTGTACCTCAAAACCCCAGAACCCCAAAATCCAAAAAGCCCAAAACCCCAAAACCCCAAAAGCCCAAAACCCCAAAAGCCCAAAACCCCAAAACCCCAAAACCCCAAAACCCCAAAACTCCAAAACTCCAAAACCCTAAGCTCCGAAGCCCGAACCCTAAACCTCCACAGAATGATCAGCACCCTAAACCCTAAAGTCCTTAGTAGGAATTGTAACAGGGGGTGCTATAATCCCTATCAAGGACTGCCAGTATAAGGGGGAACATCCCAACCCTAAACCCTAAACCCTAAACCCTCGACCCTAAACCCTAACCCTAAACCCTTAAACCCTAAACCCTAATCCCCTGCTGCTCAGGCGGCTTGTTGGAAGGACGCCCTCGGAGAGGCACATACTCGGTGCTGGGCCGGCCTCTCTCGGCTTCGAGGGCTGAGGGTTTCAGGGGGTTTAGGGTTTAGGGTTTAGGGTTTAGGGTTCAGGGTTCAGGGTTCAGGGTTCAGGGTTCAGGGTTCAGGGTTCAGGGTTCAGGGTTCAGGGTTCAGGGTTCGGGCTTCTAGTCTAGGGCTGAGGGTTCAGGGTTCAGGGCTGGCGCACCCTTGGGTTCAGATCTTTGAACGAAACCCAAAGCCATAAAAAAACGTGACAAAAAGATGACAAACGAAGAAAACGTAAGCGTAAAACAGAAAATCCAAAAACTACTAAAAACAAAAAACTCCCAGAGCTCTGCAGCCTTCGGCCACGTCCACCGGGTCCAGGCGCAGCACCAGGCCACCCTCCCAAAGGCGTTCAGGGGGGTTTTGGGGGGCTTTGGCGCTCAGGGCTTAGGGTTCAGGGCTTCGGGTTCAGGATTTAGGGTTCAGGGTTTAGGGTTCAGGGTTTAGGGTTCGGGGTTTCGAGTTTTGGGGCTTTTTGGGCCAGATCTTGGGTGGCCCAAGATCCAGAAAGAGTTGACAGATGAACGATGAAGATGTTGCTGACGTGATGCTGGTGACCTGATGACGGCCATGGTGGTACTCACGGAGGTCGTAAAGTATGAGCCAGCTTTCCTATGTCCAAGAAGCTGCTCGAGCAAGCTATTCAGAATGTGGATTGGCGTTCCGAGCAGATTAAGCCAAAACCCTCAACGCTCCGGAAGCCCAAAACAAGCTCCAACCCTAAAGCCCTCCGCGAAAGGAGAACCCCTAAGCCCTCATCGCAGCCTCCGACTCCGGGCCGTTCTCAGCAGCCACCTTGGCCACACCCTCCACCTCCTTTTCAGGCGAGGCGTGGTAGTCCTGACAGGTGACAGGGGCAGATGGATGTAGAGTTTACATATGTGTACAGGTACAAGTACACATACATACATGCACACATACGTACGTACATACGTACTTACATGCATGCACACGTACATACATATACATGTACCTTTCTTGAGTGGAAGGCCTTAGGATCTCAGCATGCGGGGGCCTAGTGGGCCTAGAGTTGGCCCACGGAGAAATTTTTGCAGGTTTCGCACCAGTCGTCGTCATAACAGTAGTAGTAGTCTTCGTCGCAGTAGTAGTCGAACCCTAACCCCTAAACCCTAAACCCTAAACCCTAAACCCCAAACCCTAAACCGCCTAAACCCTAAACCCCAAACCAAGGCGGGTCCGACATCCAGGCTTTCATGTTCTCGGGGTTCAGGTCCGGGTTGTCGCAGACATTCCTGGGGGTCCACCGGAGGTCTGGCATGGCAGGGTCGGGGGTAACCATGGTCGTTTTAGGGTTTAGGGTTTAGGGTTCAGGGTTTAGGGTTTAGGGTTTAGGGTTTAGGGTTTAGGGTTTAGGGTTTAGGGTTTAGGGTTTAGGGTTTAGAGTTTAGGGTTTAGGGTTTAGGGTTGGGGTTTCAGGACATCTCGGGTTCTCTTTGGCTGCTTGGAGAGTGACATGTCGATTCATTGTTCAAGGCTTTAGGCCTGCTGGGGAATGGACTTCAGGCTCGGACGTTGAGGGGTGTTGAAGGGTTCGATCAAGAGTTCAAGAGTTCAAGGCAAAGCTTGGCGCTCAGATGTTGGTTTAGGTCTTCCCCTAAACCACCTAAGCCGTGGAAACTTTCCTTTGAGCGAACCCCCCACGCCGATTCTGTAAGATAAAAGCAAGACCAAACCTAAACCGCCGGACGCAGGTGCGAAGAACCTCTTGCGTGGGGCTGATACAAGCTGAGCTCAAGAAATCCTAAACCCACAACCCCTAAACCCCGCCCTAACTTCTAAACCCCTAAACCCTAAACTCTAAACCCTAAACCCCCAACCCCAAAACCCCTAAAGCCCTAAACACCTAAACCCCTAAACCCCTAAACCCCTAAGACTCGGGATCCCGACTTCCCCCAAGCCCTTTAAGGGATGAAGAAAGCCTGGCTCCCCAGTCCTAAACCCTGAACGGTTTAGGGTTTAGGGTTTAGGGTTTAGGGTTTAGGGTTTAGGGTTTAGGGTTTAGGGTTTAGGGTTTAGGGTTTAGGGTTTAGGGTTTAGGGTTTAGGGTTTAGGGTTCTAGGGCTTTTTCAAGCCTTTGGGGACTTATAGAGGGCAGCCAACTCCCGAGTTCCCTACTGAACACATACGTAATCCACAACTCTTGAGCCCTTTTACGCCTCTGAACCTCGAAGTAAACCCATAGCCCTCTCATCCTATAAAGCCTCTCAGACACCCTAAGGGTTTAGGGAACTTCGGACATCCCTAAACCCTAAACCCTAAACCCTAAATACGGCTCGACCTCCACCGCCAGGCTTCTGAAAGATCTGGCAGCTGCGGAGCGCGTATGGCCACATGTTTCGGAACTGGGCTTCGGGAGTTTGGGGTTTGGGGATAAAGGTTTGGGAGTTTGGGGTTTGGGGTTTAGGGTTTAGGGTTTGGGGTTTAGGGTTTGGGGTTTAGGGTTTGGGGTTTAGGGTTTGGGGTTTAGGGTCTTGGGTTTAAGGTTTTTGGGAGCTCTGCACTCCAAAGTCCTGGACGCGAAGAACCTCCTCGATCCCATCACATTCTCGAGATCTGGGAGTCGCTACGCAAATACCCCGAACCCTAAACCCTAAACCCTAAACCCTAAACCCTAAACCCTAAACCGAAACCCATGACCGTTGTAACTTAACTTCCACGCAAGCCAATGCGTAGCCCAGCCTGCAAGACTAGCTCTCTGTCCCGAAATGACCTGAAGACTACCTGAAGTTAATGCTCGTGTTTCGTGATGTGAAATGGAGGCTAAAGACATTCCACGCGCTTGGGCCCCAAAGACTGGAACCAAAACTCCTCGACGAGCTTGGGTCTAGGGCCTAGGGTTTAGGGTTGAGGGTTTAGGGTTTGGGGTTTAGGGTTGAGGGCTATGGGGTTTTCAGGCTTCAGTGTTTTGAGGTTAGGGTTCTGGCGCTGACAGTTCTGTGCAGTGCAGGGGGCGCCACGTAGCGCCCAGCCGGCCGGGGACGTGCGGCCAACGAACCTGATTTGCTCTTAAGGCCTTGGGTTTAGGGTTTTCAATTTAGGTTTATGGTTTTGGATCTACGGTTTAGAACTTTTGGTGTTCGGGTCTAGGTCTATCCCGGCGGTTCCAACGTTTCGGGCAAAAGGGGCCAGGTCGATGTAGCCCAATGTGGATACTTCTGCCTGAGGACGTGGTTGCCAGGCGCCTTGATAAGTTAAATCCCCCGGTTCCCTGGCTCAAGACGACGGTTTGAGGTTTACATCTGGGGCGCAGGGTTTGGTGCTCCGCATGGTTTAAGGTATACCATGGTTAGGGTTGAGCTGATTCGCTCTTGAATGGTTTAACCCTAAACCCTAAGCCCTAAGCCCTAAACCCTAAACCCGAAACCCTCTCTCAAGGTCTGAGAACCCCTGGTGCGTCTCCCAACCCGATGTCCGAGGGACAACACCACTCGGTCACCGTCCAGCGGGGCCACGCCCTGATGTCCTTTCGGGGCTATTTAAGGTTTAGGGTTTAGGGTTTAGGGTTTAGGGTTTAAGGTTTAGGGTTTAGGGTTTAGGGGTATGGCTTTGGGTTTTGACTGCTTTGGGGGTTTCGGACTTTCTAAAGCACCCTCATCCATGGTCCTGGCAAGAAGGAGACGTGCTTTAGTGGCAAAAGGCTCAGCCAACCCTTAGTTATAAGCTAAAAGGCTCTGCGGCAAGCATGTTGAAAGGAGATAAGGGCACAACATGTGTCCAAGGCCTACACCCTAAACCCTTCCCTAACACTGAACCCTGAAAAACCCCCCCAACCCTGACCCAAAAACCCCCAACAAGGAACTTTGAACCCCGGACCCTGAACGCGACATCTCCACATGGGGCCCGACGCACCACCAGCCTTACTGCCCCAAGCTCTCTCAAGGCCCCAAAGCTTAGGGACTTCGGGGCTTAGGGGATTTTGGGGGTCTAGGGCTGTTTGGGGAGCTTAGGGGTCGTTTAGGAGCTTATGGGGTTGTGTGGTTTGGGGCTGGGCTGGGGCGGAAACTCCTCACTCCCACTCCTTCCCTCCTGACCTCCGACAGCTCCAAAAGAATCGCCAGGCCGTGCACAGCACACAAAACCAAAACAAACGCAATTAAGCACGACCCTTTTCAAGGCCCGAAAAAAACCGACATGCCAAAGCCGTTACGAGCAGCCCTACATCCCTGAACCCGTGGAGGAGCCCCAAACCCCAAACCCTAAACCCTAAACCCCAAAGCCTAAACCCTCAACCCTCAACCCTCAACCCTCAACCCTCATCCCTCAACCCTAAACCCTAAACCCTAAACCCTAAGCCGTGGGCCTTTGTAGAGCTCGGACAAGCGGTCCGAGAAGGCCAGCTCCGGGATCTGGCCCCAAGCCTCCGAAAACGTCGGCGGCTTCCGGCGCACGTTGTTGCGTGGTTTAGGGTTTCGGGTTTAGGGTTTAGGGTTTAGGGTTTAGGGTTTAGGGTTTAGGGCTTCGGGCTAAGGGTTGTGTTTTGGAGCTTTCGGGTTACACCGAAACCATCACCTAGAGCATATGAGGTCGGGTGCTTTGTTGCTAGCATTTTGACAGAGATACCCCATACATACCGTCGCCAGTGTTTAGCAGGAACCACATATCTATATATATATATATATATGTGTGTATATATATATATATGTATACCGTATACACTTAACGTACAAAACTTAGATAACTTATGCAACTTAAAAAAAACATATATATATATATATATATATAACTTATGTAACTTACATGACTTATATATACCTGACATAACTTATGTAGCTTATCTAGCCTATATGGCTTGCGTGACGTGTATGACTCTTTTAGCCCCCGGGCGGCCAACCTCGGGACGGAAATCTTTGGGTCTCCCTGGTTCCAACCGTCTGTGCAATTGCGCACTTAGCGTTCAAGGTCTTTGGTGTGTGGAGTTTAGGGTTTAGGGTTGAAGTTTAGGGTTTAGGGTCTAGGGTCGTTCGGGGTTTAGGTTTGGGAGTTAAAGCTTAGGGCGTGCCACAATCTTCGAGGTCTTTGACGAAGTCATGCCGAAAAGGAAGCCTTTTGGCCACTCTTGCCTCCTTTACCACCTCTGGAAACTCCTCGCGCGTGATGTTCCCCGACTCGCTGGTGTCTTTCCTGCCAGCCCCCTAAACCCAAACCCTAGAACTTGTCGGCAAGGGCGTTGCTACATGTTGCTACAGGGGCACGTCTAACCAAGTTATGACCATGTTAGAGGACCTCGGGGCTTATTCTTGGGGCGTTAACCCTAAACCCCAAAGCCTAAAGCCTTAAACCCTAGACCCTAAAATGGGTTCGAAGTGCTCCTGATCCTTCACATGTGCCACATGCAGCCGTTTCAAGCAGAGCCGTTCCCTTTGGAGCAGGCAGGACGCGCGGACACGTTCCAAGCACACAGAGCCTCAAAGCAGACACCCCAAGAGCCAGAGTGTTTAAGGGTTTGGGGTTGCGGGTTTAGGGTTTAGGTTTTAGGGTTTACGGTTTACGCACTCCCGTTTGGGAGCGATGTGAGAATGGGCTCTGTGGGACTGTCTGTGTGAGATTGATTTGGGTGATCAGTGATACTTTCATTATTTGACTTTCCCATCCATAACATTAAAACAGCATGCCATTTGCCCGGTTCAAACAATCTTTGGCAATACTCGTCTTCAAGATCACAATGAGAAACCAAAGTAGCAGTGTGATATCAGCATCTGTTTGCTTACGAAAGTTGTTGTACGGAAAGAGGGGCACTATGAATGAGGCAGTAAACGCACGCATGACAAGGAGAAACCGCGGTGGATGAACAGAAGCTGGAGATGTTAAAGCCTTTTGTACTGGAACTGGCGATTGAAACGCATGAATCTAATATCTGGGCCTGTGGATGGTGGTTTTCTTCACTGAGACAGGATTTTGGAAGAGGAAATCATTTGTAACCGCTAGAAAGAACTGGGTGATGAATCCAAGGGTCTAGAACTGTGGGTTTCGTTCGCCAAAATCCCCAATTAAAATAGTAAACTCACGCGTGTCCTTGTAATTGACTACTTTTAATAGCAGACGTGCGTGCTCCTCTGGAGAATGCTCTGGACGCTGCCATCGTCCCAGGCAAGGCCGATCTCCTTCAGCGCGATTTGCAGCTGCGCCTCCACATTATGTGGGTTTCCGAAAATAAGGGTACCTTGTTTGGGGTTCCACTAGAAGGATTCGATCGTATTTTGGGGTATATAAGGGGTACCCCTATTTTCGGAAATCCCCACATGGGCTTTAGGGTTTGGAGTTCAGAGGTGCGATTCAGAAATACATAACTACTGTTTGCTTAAGAACCCCAAAAGAATGACAATTTAATAATCACTATATTTCCCTTAATAGTATATTTTCCTGGGTTCTTAAGCAATTACTAGATAATCCCTCATTACCCCCATCTGTCCTGCCCCACTTGGCTTAGACTTTTTTGGCACGAGGGTAGTGAGGTTTGGGGCTCTGCGCTATTGAGATTGTTGAGATGAGGGTTGAGGGTTTGTAGGGTTAGGGTTTAGGGTTTAGGGTTTAAGGCTGAGGTTTAGGATTTGGGGTATAAGCTTTGAGCGGTTTAGGAATTGTGCCAAGAGTGTATTGGCCGTTATAATGAGCACGTGGGGGTGCGGGGGCAAGCCCTTTAGGCGCTACAAAAACCTCTAAGCCAAACGAAATCGAAGCGATGCCTGCATCCCGGGGGGTTCAGTATGCGGACCCTAAACCCCAAACTCTAAACCCTAAACCCTACAACCCCAAACCCCAAACCCTAAACCCTAAAACCCTAAACCCTAAGGGTTGGGGTGGCCCAGCCTTGTCCAAGAAGCCCGAGTTGTCTGCCTCGGCTGAGCCCAGCCGGGAGCCAGGCCGGAACACTGCATCATAGGGTTTAGGGTTTGGGGTTTAGGGTTTGGTGTTTAGGGTTTAGGGTTTAGGGTTTAGGGTTGCATAAACCAGCATGGGCCGTTCAAAAACAACAGGGGTACCCCGAACTCGTATGATCCTTGTTGTAGCCGTTCCCCAAATTGGTACCCTATTTTTGGGAACCCCTGTATCATACAGGCCACAAAGTCTGGCGCTTTGTGTCTGTTGGGCTTAACTATGGTTTTGAGGGGTTTAGGGTTTGGGGTTTGGGGTTTAGGGTTTAGGGTTTAGGGTTTAGGGTTTAGGGTTTAGGGTCTATCCCTAGGGTTTAGGGTTTAGGGTTCAGGGTTTAGGGTTTAGGGTTTAGGGTTTAGGGTTTCGGGGGCTTCAACTTCTGGAACTGGGGGCGTCAGTTTTGGCTTTAGGGTTTAGCAATAGGGTTTAGGGTTTAGGGTTTAGGGTTTAGGGTTTAGGGTTTAGGGTTTAGGGCCTCCAAGTATGGGTCCGAGCTTTAGCTGGGGCGCGTCGAAACGCTCAAAGAGCTCCTCGATGAACTCCGCGCGCCGCTTCCGTTTGCCTGAGCCCCAAGCCTACTTGGAGGCTGCTCAGGGTTTAGGGTTTAGGGTTTCGGGTTTAGGGTTTGGGGTTTCAGGTCTAGGGTTTCGCGTTTAGGGTTTAGGATTTAGGGTCCCGAAGCTCAAAAACCTCGGGAGGGCCCCCCCCCCCCCCCCTGAAGTACAAGCAGAGGTATCAAGTGCTAAACCCCCAGACCCCAATAAGCAGCTGGACCTCCGTTGATGAAAGCGGACGAAGGTAAGTTTTCCAAGCTCCACCGGACCGAAAAGCAGTGACAGGATGCCGCTTGCGATGAGGATGGGCGAGTGAGACCAGCAAGATCATCCCTAGACCCGAGACCCTGAAACCTAAACCCTAAACCGTAAACCCTAAACCCTAAACCCTAAACCCTAAACCCTAAACCCTAAACCCTAAACCCTAAACCCTAAACCCTAAACCCAAACCCGAAGCGTTGGCATGGGAGTTTTAAACCTTTAGGGGGTCTAGGGCTCAGGTGGTTCAACGACCTCTGCGGTCACGGCCCTCACGCCATCAACTCCGGAGCATTCACTTCTAAGGCCCCCATGCCGTCGTTTTGGGTTTAGGGTTTAGGGCTTAGGGCTTAAGGCTTAGGGCTTAGGGCTTAGGGCTTAGGGCTTAGGGCTTAGGGCTTAGGGCTTAGGGTTTAGGGTTTAGGGCTTAGGGTTTAGGGTTTCAATGGTAATCCCCCACCCCAGTCCCAGTGTCACATATTCAAACGATAATTTCGTGGGAAGACTTACCCCCACTGATGAGGGAAGACCTTGGTTGCCGGCTATTTGGGCCTTGCGGGGGGGAGAAGAGTACAGGGTCCCATCATCATGGAGCCGCGGCACGGTTGTAGACCGCCTCGGTTTTGCAAGGGCCGGTGTGCTGTTGGGGGAGCTGAGGCTCTTGGCACTCAGCCTCTGGACCCTGCATATGGAGCTTCTCCATGACTTGTGGGCCCTTTTTGGGGGATTCAGACTTCTTCTTCCCGTAATTTAGGGCATCCAAAGAGGCGGGCCGGTGATTCTTGCGCTTTTGGGTTTTTCGGGCCTCGGGGTTTTAGGGTTGAGGGTTAGGGGTTAAGGGGGCTTTTGGTGCTTCAGGGGTTTTCGCGGTTCAGGGTTTAGGGTTTAGGGTTTAGGGTTTAGGGTTTAGGGTTTAGGGTTTAGGGTTTAGGGTTGGGGTTTGGGGTTTGGGGTTTGGGGTTTGGGGTTTGGGGTTTGGGGTTCAGGGCTCAGGGTTTAGGGCCACAAGTCAGGGCACCCGCCGCTCGTCCACCGGCATGGCTTGAAAGCCCGGGTATCTCAGAGTCAGCATGCAGAACTTGTCCTGGGTTCAGGGTTTAGGGTTTAGGATTTAGGGTTTACAGTTTAGGGTCTCGGGTTTAGGTCTAGGGGTTTCGGGTTTAGGGTTTAGGGTTTAGGGTTTGGGGTCCAGGGCTTAGGGTTTAGGGTATGCAGAACTTGTAAACCCTAAACCCCAAACCCCAAACCCCAAACCCAAACCCCGTTCGCGCTGTACGGTCTTGAGCTTCAGGCTTGTTGGGCTGCGGGCTTGCTCTCCTTGGGGTCTTTCAATTGATCAGCACTGTTTAGGGTGTTAGATTTTTATGAGGGCCCTCCCGTTGTTTCGGGTTTAGGGTTTAGGGTTTAGGGTACAGGGTTCGGGTTTTTGTTACCCCTTGAAGCCCCGAAGGCCCCTCAACCGCAGGCTGGCGTCGGACCTCTGAAAACCCAATGCAGGGACATCGTGATACCTGGGCCACTGAGCGGCTACAGCTTGGGGGGTTTATAAGGTTTAGAATTTAGGGCTTCGGGTCTAGGGCTTAGGGTTTAGGATTTAGGGTTTAGGGTTTAGGGTTTAGGGTTTTAGCAAGGGTAAGGCTCACAAGCTTTTGGGCCTTTGGAGGTTCAAGTTCGGGAGTGCAAGGTGCAGACGGCTTAGGCTTCAGGGCACGAGGCTCCGCGTCGAAAGCCTGCAGGGAAGTACACGTGCTGAGCTTCAGCAAACATGGCTTTACCACAAACTACGCCCTAAACCCTAAACCCTAAACCATAAGCTTCGCCAAGGTTACCCCCCGCGAACCCCCCTCCCTTAAGGAGCCTATAAAGTCTCGCAAAAACACCCTCCCCACGACCTCCGCCCCTCACGCCGCCACAACACGACTCCAAAGTGCCCAAAACCCTTAAACCCCAAAACCCCAAAAACCCAAAACCCGAAAAACCTCAAGACCCTGACCCCAAAATCGAAACCCCAAAACCCCTAAACCCCAAAAACCAAAAAACCCTAAAACCCCAAAACCCCAACAACCCAAAAACCGAAAACCCAAAAAACCAAAAAAATGAAAACACTAACAAAATAGAAGAAACAAAACCCTCAAAACCCTCAAAACCCCAAACCCCTAAACTCCAAAACCCAAGACCCGCAAAAACCCTAAAACCCCCAAGCCCACAAAACCCTGAACCCGCAACAACGCTCAACACCCTAAAGCTCGAAAACCCCTATACCCTCAACCCCCCAAACCCTAAACCCCAAAAAACCCTAAACCCTAAACCCTAACCCTACAAACCCTAAACCCTAAACCCTAAAACTCGCGCCCGGCGGCGGAGCGAGGGAGAACTCCAGGTCGGAGCGCGAGGCGAAGCCGCGGCGCCCGCGGCTTCGCGGAGGTGGGAGCCGAGGGTGAACCTTACGAAGGGCTGGCGGGGGGATGGCTAGAGGTCTGAAGGGGGTTAGGGCTTTAAGGATGTTAAGGTTTTAGGAGTTCAAGGGTTTAGTGCTTAGGGCTTTTAGGGGTTTAGGGTTTCAGGGGGTTTAAGGGTTTAAGGGTTTAAGGGTTTAAGGGTTTAAGGGTTTAAGGGTTTAAGGGTTTAAAGGTTTAGGGGTTTTAGGGTTTAAGGGTTTAGGGCTAGGGATGTTTAGGGCTTAGGGCTTTGGGGGTTTGGGGGTTTGGGGGTTTGGGGGTTTGGGGGTTTGGGGGTTTGGTTGCTTAGTCTGGGGTTTACCACCAGGAGCTTCCCACACAGCCAGGCTTTTACAAAATCCTTGTAGCACACACTCTCAAGTTAATTGGGGTTTAGGGTTTGGGGTTCGGGTTTCAGCGTTTTTGTAAATATGACCCTAAATTGTCACGGGTTTGGGGTTGTAGTTTTTCTTATATGAACCCTGGACCCCACCCTAAAAATGAAACCTTTCACCCAAAGCCCCAAACCCTGCACTATTCAAGGGCGTTTAGTCTTTAGGAAGTAAAATCGACGTCACGCCTATAAAGAAAGGGGTGGAGGGCTCCGGAAAGAAGTCCGGCTGCAGCAATAGGGAGAGAA